TTCTCTTTCATAGTTTACAGCTCTCTGTTGAAATTCTCCCATTTTTCATCTAATGTCCTAAATATATTAACCATAATTATTTTCAAATCTGTGCCTTACAATGCCATTACCTAGATCTCCCATTTTAGTTTTTCTAAAATTAAGCTTTTTATTTCAAGATAATTATAGATTCAGTTGTAAGAAGTATCACAGAGAGATCCTAGTGCCCTTTACCCAGCTTCCCTTAATGGTAACATGCTGCAAAACCAGACAATATCGTTACCAGGATATTGACATTGATATAGTCTTATTAAGATTTCCCTAGTTTTACTTGTACTCATGTGTGAATTTGTATGTCCGCGTATGCGTGTGATTTAGTTCCAGGCAATTGTGTCACCTGTGTAGGTCTATGGCCTCTAAAAAATGTATTCCCTATGGGTTTTCAGTCATTCAGTTTCATTTCCAGATATGTCTAATAATTTTATATTGAATGGTAAACCTTGTATAATAAAAATCTAACGTGAGAGTTTAGATGATGATGTTCTCTTCCTCCAGAGAGAATGTACTTGGCTTCTGGCAAGATGTTGGTGAAGAGACAAGACACCTTAATTCAATCAATGAATGAGAGGATTGGAATCTGGCATTCCACGTGTGGGAGGGCTGGAACATTTCCCTACTCTGAGAGTGCAACCCGCTGAAAGCCTGGATAATTTACCAGAGCTTCTCATGCTGAACTCCAGTTTTGAGCTGGAAGCTCAACTTCTACTTATGATGTAATTTCTCGAACATATTAGCCAGCTGCTCAGCTTAGCCATTTGTTGGAAGTGGATAGGTGCCTTAAGAGGAGAGCTGCAGCCCTGGAAGCCAGGCTCACCTCCCGGACTTCTCTCTGGGATCTTTGTCCCCCAAGTCCAACCTGTCCTGGCACCTCTGTGATGCCGTCCTTGGATGCCTTGACTATGTCGTTCAGTTTTTCTAGGTTTTCTCGGGGGGAGAGTTGGTCTGCAACAGAAACCTCCTGCATCAGCCTTTGTTTCTCACACCATTGTCTTCACATCCCTGATGGGGAAGGGGACCCCAGACCCCAGACTACACAGTGCAGCATTTGAGTGCTTGTTCTGGAATCAGCCTGGATTCAATCCTAGTGTTTCCACTTCCTAGCCACGTGATCTTGGTGAAGTCCCCTGTCTGGGCCTCAGTTTTTTCATAGTACTTACCTCCTTGGATTAAATAAACTAATACTTGTCAAGTGCTCAGAACAGTAAGTGCCTGGCACAGAGTAAGCACTTGGTATATATTCGTTATTAGTATTCAGTAAATCTATATTAAGCACCTACTCTGTGCCAAGTGCTGGATCTATACAGTGGTGAAAAACACAAATACAGTCTCTTCTCCTGTAGAGCTGACATTATATTCAGGAGGACACTCTGGTGACTTATAATAACAGGTAAGTGAACAAGATCATTGTCAGAGAGATGCAGGCTGTGGTGAGAATTGAAAAGGGTGATGGAGCAGGTCACTTTGGCAGGGTTGGGTCCAGGCTGAGCAGGAAGGGCTTAGTTCTCAGGTCTGGGGCACGTGGAGAGGACATGGCAAATGGTGGAGAGTGACCTGACAACTACTTAAGGCAGCAAACACTTCTGTGATTGCTCCATGACAAGACAAGCTGAGACCTGACCGACCAGCAGGAGCAAGTCTGCTGAGAACTGGGGGAGAAGCATTCCAGGCTGAGGGGACAACATGTGCCAATTCCCTGAATCTGGCATGTTTGAGGGACAGCAAGAAGGCCAGTGTGTCCCAGAGTGTAATGAGCAGAAAGAGTTACTGTGTGAGATTTGGGAGGTGGGCAGGGACAGGATCCCAGAGGGCTTTGTGGGCCACAGTGAGGGGCTGGATTTTAGTCTAAGGCTGTACTAGGAAGCTTTGGAGAGTTTTATGGAGAGGAGTGACGATATTTTGATTTCAACATGATCATTCTGGATGTTATTTGGATTTTAAGAGAGAGAATGGATTTTAAGAGAGGCCATTGTATTGTCAAGAGACCCTAGTGGCTTGGAGCAGAGTGGCAGCAGAAGTGGAGAGGAGGGGTAGAGTTGACAGGTGATGGATTGAACAGAGTGGGCAAGAGAAAGGGAGACGTCAGTGAGCACCCTGGGCCGAGTCTATGTATTGAGAAGGGGAAACTGGGCTGGAGGCAGAGAAGGATCAGGTGCTTAGTGTTGGATATATCAATTTTGAGACTCCTATTAGGTCACCTGGATGTGCAGATGTGGGGTTCAGGGAGAGGTCTAGGAGGGAGCCATAGTTTTGAAAGCCATCAGATGATAGCTGACGCCAGGGGCCTGGATGAGATTTCCTAGGGAGAACATCTAGGTAGAAAGAACAGAGAGACCTAGGACTGCGCACCAGGGCACTGCAGGATTCAGGGCTCAGGGAGTCGAGGAGGAAGCAGAAGGAGCCTGAGAAGAAGCAGCCAGTGAAGTGGAGCAGTGGGCCTCGAAGTGTGGCCCCGGGACCAGCAGCCACAGCTTCACCCGGCACTTGTTAGAAATGCGGAATGCTGGGCCCTCCCCACCACAGATCTGCTGCCTCAGAAACTCTAGCGGTGGCGCCCAGCAATCAGTGCTGGTGATGCAGACTGAAGTTTGAGAACCACTGAAGCAGAAGGAAAACCAGGAAAGGGTGTGTTTTAGGAGGTGAGAGAAGAAATTTTCCAAGAAGGAAGGAGCTGTGTGTCACATGCAGCTTAGTTCTGCTCAGATAGGGGCAGAGGCCTGGCCATGGGATCTTGTAACATGAAGTCATTGTTGGCCTGGACAAGAGAGAGCTTGGAGGAGTGGTCGGGGCAGCAGCCTGGTGGGGACTGGCTAAGGCGCAAGTGAGAGAGGGAAGACGTGGCAACAAAGACTGAAGACCCACTGTGCGGCGAAGGCTTAACTAACTCATCAGGCTTGGGCGGATGGAGCCTGGCACGTTCCAGAGAAGGACCGGGCCTTGACCAGCTCCCGGCAGACAACTGTCTAAGCCCTTGGAATATCCTCCCTGATGAGATTATCTTTGTATGCTTTGGGCCATACCAGATGATTTATGCTAACAAAGTCATTTATGGCAAACACCTGGGTCACACTGGATCAGTTTGACCTCTGCAAGGGGTGTCCTGGAGACTAAGTGGTTCAAGTCAGTCATATGGGCGCTCTATTACATGACTGGTTGACAATTCTGTGTGCATGTGTCAGACACCGCTGCTGGGAGAGCGAAGTGCCGTCCACAGGACTCTGGGAGAGAACACCCGGAACCTTGCTCCCGGTCTCCCCTGGCTTCCGCCCTGTGCACCTTTCTCCTTTGCTGATTTTCATCTATATTCTTCCAGTATCATAACCAATAACCATGAGTTTAACAGCTTTTCCTAGTTCTGTGAGTCCTTCTAGTGAATCGTTAAACTTGAGGGTGGTCTTGGGGGACCCTTGACACACCTTCCTTTATAAGAAGTTTTGCAGCGCAAGAGAAAAGAAACGAGTGATAGCTGCAGGAGGGCACTGGCTTTTGTTTGAGGGAGGAGATGAGATACTCAAGCAGACCTGCTCCCACTGGATTGTCCAAGTAAGCAAGTTGGTAATTCAAGAGAAAGGTCGTTGAGGAGGTAAAGTGGAAGGGGGCCAGTACATACATAGTGCCTCTGACAGGAGTGGGGACAGTTCATTCAGATAGATAAGGGAAGCCAGAGAATCTGGGGACAGTGCAGGCTTGGTGGAGGGGTCACAAGGGAAGACTGGACTGATAGTTTCCTCAGTGGACTATGAGGTAAGGCCACGCCTGAATGTGCAGGGCTGGAGGTGGGGGGCTGTAGATTTGAGTAGAGAGAGGACATGACACAGCCATTTTGGAGCGTGTGCTAAGACTGCAGGGCAGGGTGAGATGCCCTTGGAGATCTCTGGCCATGAATTGACAGTGAGAGTCAACACACACTAGAGCCTGGTGCTGTTGTGCATCAGCGTCTGGCTGTGCAGGTGCTGGCGTGAAGCAGGTGGACAGCAGGGTTTCACCAGGGTTGGACATCGCCAGCTGAGTGGGACAGAGGGAGGAGAGGGTGTTTGCAAGTAAATCAGTGCAAGAGAGGATAAACAAGGCATAGCTGTCTGCAGCTTAATTTTGCTCAGTGGTAATTGAAAACATTTTTATTTTTAAAACAAATATGGATTCATTCTGGAGTAGAATGAAACAAACACATGACTTGTTCAGATAACTCAGCAGACTTCAAATAGTTTTCCTATTTAAAGTGCCACTTCCAGCTACACCTACCTCCTCACTCTTGTTGGAAGTTGGGGTAGCTTTGGAAAAGTCTGGGAAGCCCTGTCCTGCTGGTGTGATCCCCTGAGCCCTGAATAGCACCCTGGCTTTTCACAGGTAACAATATTGATAGAGGAGGAAGGTGAAGGCTTTGTGCCCTAAGATGGTATGAACAGGGAGGGCTGGGGACTAGATAAGACCCTTCCAGGGATGGGCTGGGTGCTGGAGGGGCAGCGTGGCGGTGGCTGACCCTGATGCTGGCCAAAGAGTCCAGTCTACAGGCCCCACGTGTCAGAGGAGTCCAGCTAGAGTGTGGGCAGGGGTGAAACTGAGCTACAACAGAGACCTCCTCTCTCCACTCCCCCATCTCCCTAGGACCCCAAGGGTCCAGACAAGTGACTCTGGCAGGCTGGGTCCCAGGAAACAAATCAGGGACCCGGATCCCAGAACTGGGGCACAAGGTGTGGATGGGGTATTGGGAATGAGGCCAAAGCCCAGTTAGCAGAACTGGGACACTTTTCATGTGGGACTTGTGTTCCCTGCATCCCTCCTGCATAGATCTTGGGAAACGGGCTGCGCCTGAGCCTGGGGACAGGCAGGACCTCTAGGGTTGAGTGAGGCTTTGGGCCAGTCTGGAACAGGCATCTCCTCTGCCTTTACCTGCAGCCCTGCTGAAAATACCCGCCCCCTTCCTACCCGGCACCCCAGGGTACCCCACCCCTGCAAAGGAGAGCCTCAGCATAAACAGCATGTTTATTTTGAACATTCAAGTTTACAAAAACAAAAAGGTAACAAAAACCATGACAGAGATCCACACGCACACACATACACATACACACCCGCACGTTGTATCTCATGTCGTTTTATGTACAAAATTGGGGGGAGAGAGGAAGGTGGGGCTGGTAGGGGTTGTCAGTAGGGTGCACTAATGTCACAGTGTCAGATGACTTACATGCTCACTCACGTTCAATCTGGGCCCACATGAGCCCCTTCCCTACCCAGGCGTCAGGGGTCAGGGGTCAGGTTGGGAGGTAGGGTCTGGGGTGGCAGGCAGCTGAGATAAGGGGGTGAAGAGAGTGATCCCATCTCTGGGAGGGAGCCCCTTCCCAGTTTTCTCAGGCCAAGGGTGCCGGGATGTGTAGACGAGGAGGGGCCCGGTTCTGGGAGAGGGGACACCACGTCCTGGAGGGAACAGAACACGATCAGGAAGCCAGGCTGTGGTCCCCATGTTGAGCTGGGTGGCCTTGAGGGTTGCTCGCCTTCCCCAGGCCTCAGCTTCCTCATCTGTAAAATGAGGGCCTTGGTCTCCCCTAAGTGCTCTTCCTGCCCAAATCTGTGGTCCTACGTCATGCAAAGTTGTAGCAAGGAGATAGGTCCCCCTGGGATGCTGGCGGGGGCACCACATGCCACAGAGGCTGGAAAATCTGGCAGATAACAGCTGTGAAGCACCTGGCACAGGGCCTGGCCCAAAGCAGGACTTTAAGGAACAGCAGTTTCCCTCCCCTCCTCTGCCCGGGACTCTTGGGGGACACGCAACTTCCTTTTCCTTTTGAGCTCTCCTGGAAACTCCAACTGAGTTAAAGAAGGGCTAAGCTCCCTCCCACAGCTTCACCAGGGGGCCCCTGGCCCTGGGCCTGGCCCATCCCATGCCTCTGTTCTTCTACCTCAAACCTGTGGGCTGGTGAGTGGGGTCGGGCACAGCCCTGCAGGCAGAAGCGCGGCAGGAGCAAAGGTGCCCAGATCCCGCTCTATGCATCATTAGGGGTACTCATCCCCTCCGGCTGGGGGGTGGGCCCTGAACCTAACCTGCTTTGCTTTGAAATCTGGGCTCCATCCCCTGCTAGCTGATTGACACTGCGCAGGTTACATCACTCGTCTGTGCCCCAGTTTCCACACCTGTATAATGAGGCTAAGAGCAGGCCAGACTCATAACAGTGTTGTGCGGACAAGCGAGATGATGCCGGCAGGTGCGCAGTGCAGCAGCAGGTGCTCACGCATGGCACGGCCAACACGCGCTCCACCATCGTGATCAGCCAGCGCCGCTCAGGACGCGACAGAGCAGCATTTCCAGCTCCTCTTTCCTTGTCCTCTCGGACGTGCCCAGGGGCAGCAGATGATAGCAAAGCTGGAGTCCAAACAGCAGGCGCTCGGGGCACGTGCACAGAACAGGGAGCAGATGAAGGATGGGGGGTCTTTGCAAACAAGGAGCTGGGCCTGTCACCAATGAGCCAGGAGCAGGGCCCACACCCCAACAGCTCTGATTTGTTCCTGGTCCCTCTAGAGGGCTGACGGGGGTGACTCAGCAGGGGAACGAGGCTCAGATGTCAGATGTCTCATCATCACCGTGACAAGCATAAAGGACCTGGGGTGGTGTGTCTAAGTGGGCTCAAGTGACCGAGCAAGTGCTGTCACCGCCCTCCTAAGACCCTACCCTTCTCTAAGGGCTACCTCTTGGGAGAAGCTACCTACTTCACAACAGTAACAGAAACACAAAGCTCAGCGTCCCTGAAATCTAAGCTCTGAATTCTGCCATCACCCCAGCAACAGAGCATGTCATTATGATGAGACACTTGACCCAGCACTGGGGCTGATGTCATTGGCTGTTACCGGGGCAACCCAGATCTCCGCAGGCCTGGCTGAAGCCCGCCATCGCTCTTTCTTCCGAGGGGAGTTGGACCGGAGGTGCTGAGCAATCTATTTGTGCTCTCAAAATGGAAACAAGGATCTGGGGGCCGGAGGCAACAAGTCTTGGAGAAGCTTCCATGGCACCGGGCTCCACAGCCTGCAGCTCTTGCGTCATGTCTCAGGCTAAGTGGCTACAGGAAGCAGAGATGGAACAAAAAGAGGGCAAGAGGTACCAGTGCCCACTTGAGTCAGGAAAGCTGCAGCTGCTTAGACACCTGGTAGGTGACTGGCAGGGAGAGGCACCTGTGAGCCCAACCTTCCACCCTGCCAGTGCCCAGGGATCAGAACCTCCTTTCCGCACTTCCTGGCTGGGGGTGCCAAGATATCTGGGTGTTATGTAAAGGAAGATGTTTTAGTGTCATTTTGAAAAGCATCCTGGCCTCTCAGATGTCCACCCTCCTAGATGCTGGACTCAAAGACCCTCAGAGACAGGCAGCATGGTGTAGGGGGAAGAGCACAGAAGAGTTCCAAGATGCCCTGGGTTCTAATCCTGGCTTTGCCCCATTGTGCTGTGTGATCCTCTCTGAGGACCCTCTCTGAGTTCTTCCCCATCTCTCACAAGCAAGAGGTCAGTCTGGCTAGCTTTTCTCAGCTCTGACATTCTTACACTCTCTTGGGGTAGCTGGTAAGGACTCCAGGGGGAGGACTGGGAAGCCATCAGTCCTTTGAGACACTCTCAGGTGGTTGGGGGTGCCAGGCTGGGGGGATCCATGTGTGAGGTTGGTCTGCCTTGAATGTTGTCCTTGACCCTGACTCTCTGGAGCTAGCTGCTGACCCTAACCCATGAATAGCTGATCCCATCTGCTGCCCAGTCCTAGGACCTGCCACTGTCACCAAGAGGGTTCCCAGGCTTTCCGCTCCCATCCACCTGGAATCACAGACCACCCCACATTCCATCTGGAGAGCTCTTTGAAATGACCAAAGCATAGGAAGGCCAGGCCCAGAGAGAGCAGGGACTTACAGAAGGCCACACGGCAGGTCAGCAGCATGGCTGGCTGGGAACCAAGTGCTTGCTGCTCTCCCCATGCTCTGCCCACCCCCCCATGCCTCTCCCCAGCCTCTCAGCTCCTCCCTCCCTCCTCAAGGCCATGCAGAGGGGGCAGGTAATGTGACTCTGCGAGGGGTGGGGTCTCCTGGGCCATGCTACCCCTGCCTTAAGCTGCTCCCAGCCCAGGCTGAAGTGGCCCAGGCCCTGTCCTTGGCATGGGGTGGGGTCTGTGACTGTGCCAGTGGCCATAGCTATGGGTGAGCACAAGGGGTGACCAGGCCCTTTGGCCTCCCAGGATTATGGTCCCTAGCCCTCCAGGCTGGAACTGGGAAGGGAGTATCCTGGAAACAGGCAGGGGTGGGCCAGGCAGGGAATGGACATTCAAACCACCACACACAAAGAAAGGAGGCAAGAGGAGGAGGAGGAGGCATGAGGTGGGTGGGTGGGTGGGGAGGCTCCGTCCAGACCCTACTGCCCTTGCCTGGCAGCTGGCGGGAAGACGGAGGAGGGGCAGTCTGGTCTCCTATGTCTCCGATATAACCTTCTACAGCCTGTTGTGATCCTCAAGGGGAAGGGGCCGGGGCTGCTGTGGGGGGACAAGGGGGCAGATGGCCACCCCACCACTGAGAGGGTGGGCCCTCCCCCATATAACGACCCCACAGGGGATGCCATTGGGATTAGTGGAATCAGATGTGACTGATGGACCAGTGGGGGTGGTAACAGACGACTCCAGTGCAATGCCAGAAGGGTGGGCAGAGCCTGGGCTCACCCCAGGCTCCACCTGGTGACTTGAGATGCTTGTCCCCATCAGGTGGGGCGAGGGGACACGTTCACAGGGCAGGGCATTCTGGACATGTGGGTATAGGTGAGAGGAAATGGAGGCACGGCCAGGAGTAGGGCAGGAGGGAAGGCCAGTGCGTGGGCAGGCTGAGGAGGAGATGTGCCCCCCCAAGGTCCCCAAAGTGGCAGGCAAGTGAGGGGCCCTGGATGAGGTGGCCCCTCATGCCTTGGCTCTGCCCTTGCAGACATCAAAGGCAGCCTTCGTTGCACCCCCGAAGGCCTCCACCAGCTTGTCTTCCCAGGGAAGGACGTTGCCCAGCAGTGGCCCAGTGCAGTTGGCAATGCCCAGCACCTGGGCAGGTGTCAGGGCGTGGTCCCACAGGTTAAACTGGGCAATGTCACCGACGAAGGCCTGGGTAGCATCAAACCGGCCACCCAGGGTATCCTGGGCCAAGAGAGCAGCAGAGAAAGGAGAGACACAGAGTGAGGGAACAGAAAAGACAGGCAGGCACTCAGAGAGTCAGATGCCACCCCAGCTGAAGCCCCGCCCCTGCCCACTGAAGCCCCGCCCCTGCCCACTGAAGCCCCACCCCCAGGACATGCTCGCTGGGCACGTCTCTGCCCTCTCTGGCCCTCAGTCTGCCCATCTGCAGAGTGGTGTGGTTCAGCCAAACAGCAGCCCAAACCTTACCTGCTCCTGGCCCAGGATAAGGATCCCATGAGGCTTGATGGGGTGCCAGGCAGCCAGGTTCTCGCCGGAGCCCTGCAGCTCCCCGTCCTGGTAGGCAGACCACAGGCCATCCCTTGTGGTCCAGGCGATGCAGATGTGGTGCCAGCCACTGTCCTTCAGGCTCAGGGGCAGCTGGGCCACCTGGACACAGGTCCCCCAACCTCAGGTCAGAGGTGCCACAAGGCCCAAGGCTGGGGTAGTGGGGTGGGGGTGGGGAGACCCATGTCCTTCCCTCTGGGGAGTGGCCCAAGGCCTTATGTCAGCCTCTCCTTCCTCCCAGCCCAGCGTCTCTCCTGACTCTTCTCCCCTCTTTCCCCACAGGCCAAGCCAAGTAGCTCCACTCAGATCACCAGGGACCACCCAGTGTTGGTTTCTGGTTGTTTCTAGCTAGTTTATTCACTCTCTAACAGGCCTGTGAGGTCATGCAGGGTGGGAGCAGGGGATCACAATCCTATCCTCCCCTCAACACCTCACGCAGGGCCCCCCGCGGCTGGGGCTCAGGAAGTACCGGCAGTGGCAGAGTGAGCCTTGGACTCAGAGGCCAGGCACTGGCATCTGGCCCTGGTTCTGCCACCAACCCCCTTTGTGACCTTGGGGAGGCTGCTCTTTCCTCATCCGTAAAGTAAGAAGGTCAAACACGGGATGGCAAACACACAGCCACTGCCTCTTCCTCCACCCAAGGCAGACATGGCTAATCAATCACGAGCCTAGACTCAGCCTCAGACTCTCCTCACATGCTCTGAGAAGCCGCTGCTGATTGATTCAAGTTGGCCTGTGCAATGAAAGATACTTGCTGTCTGTGGATTGGTGCTCCCAAAGGGCTCTTTTGCCTCATAAGTTCTCTGAGATCACAACTTAATATAACATTCTCTGAGGCCTATTTAGTGCCGGGCCTTGTTCGGACACTGGGGATATGGATATGGTCTGGGCCTTAAATGAGCTGAGTTGCCCAGGAGGGAAGGACATCAGGGACAATACTGCAAGACAGAATAACATGGGGGCCATGAGGGAGGTACAAAGGCTGTGTGAAGGCCTGGGAGGAAGAGGGGGGCGTGGGAACAGAAGGCACGTAATCTGCCACAGAAACTGACCATTCCACTGCTGCGCACACCAAGGGCGGCAGGGCACGGGCAAAGGCTTAGGGGCTGGAATAAAAGGGGAACAGTGAGCAGTTTGTGAGGTTGGCTGTCAAAAGGACTCCAGAGGTTCCCAGGATAGGGCTGCACGGTGCTCTGTCCATGGTGCTGAATTCCCGCTAATGAGAACTGAGTGCTGAACTTGGGCAAAGCCAAAGATGGCAGCCAGGGGGTGATGAAGGGAACAGGGTAGCAGGACCTAGATGTGATCCAGCCGCTGTGGGGGTTGTAGGGCATATTGGTCCACAGGAGAAATTCGCTACTCTCTGGACTCATCTCCTTCCTCCTCTTCCTACTCTTCCTCCTCCTTCTCCAGGACGCCCATAAAAGGCACCTTCTGCTGAGTTGGGTTCTGATGGTGTCAGCCACTCCTGGTGGCTCTTTATGGCTGTGGGCTAGTCACAGGTGGGTGTGATGTGTGGCATCTACATTTACAGAGGGGTCTCAATAGATCATCATGCCTGCAAGGCCCAAAGCCATGTTGCAGGTGGTGGGGAGGAACTTTTGGGAGGGGATGAGGATGATAAGATGCTCCCCTCCCTTCCCCCTCAATACCATGACCCCGACACATCACTCCCCCCACCCAAGGCCTGTCCTTGTCCTGCCTTTCAGTCAGGCTGGGATGGCCCAAGGGCAGAACAGGGCAGAGGTTACGAGGTGGTTCTGGAGCCCAAGACCCCGAATCGCAGCATCACCCCTTCACCAGCTGTGTGGCCAGGGTGCATTATTTCCCCTTCCGGAGCCTCAGCTTCTCCATCTGCAAGATGGGAAGGTCCAGGCTGATAGATGAGTAAAGTGCTGATTAGCGCAGTGCCCGGCAAAATACGAACAGCTCGCTCAGTGCTGGGCTCTGCCCCAAACCCTCTGCATGTGTTTAAGCCACTTATTTCTCACTACAGCTCCATGAGGCAGGGGCTGCTATCATTCCAGCTTTACAGATGAGGAAACTGAGGCACAGGGTGGGTAGTGACTAATCTATGGTCGCACAGTGGTTACAGTGCAGAACCAGAACGCAAATCCTGCATTCAGGCCCAGAGCCTGCCCATGGCACCACTCTCCCTAGTGCGGAGGGCAGAGGGGCCAGCTCCCGGGGAGCAGAAGGGACAAGGAGTTCACCAGCACTCCCGTCCCCCCAGGTGGGTCCTTGCACCTCACTTTCTTCCTTCTATATCCAGGAGAATGAGCAGGACCTGGGGGCGGACACCTCAGCCCCACTCCCATAGTCAGGACACTGGGGGAGTCACTGAATCCCCACGAGCCTCACTTGCCTCCTCTGTAAAATGGGAACAACATTTACAGCCTCTGTTGGACACAAGCCCCTCTGCAGCCAGCCCCATGTCTAGGTTGCCTTTGTATTCCCAAGACCCGTCCTGAACACAGTAGGCACTTAATGTGTGTTGAATATGCCGAGCGGGAGAACGAGAACTGACCCCGGTTTGGGCTCAGCACAGAGCAGGTGCTCCCGGAAGGGTCGCCGTCCCCCGCCACTGCCCACCTTGTCGTTGATCAGCAGCTCCATGGGCTCGTGGCCCGCCTCCAGCAGCACGATCTCGTTGGCCTGCCCGGGCACCGAGTAGGAGAAGGGGGTGCCCTGGCCGGTGCCGCCCGACCTGGACCGCAGCCACATGCAGGCGGTGAACGCATAGAGCTCGGGCAGCACCTTCCGCACGCGGGCGTACATGTAGTTGTTGCGGAAGGGGATGCTGACCTTGAAGGCGTCCGGGGGGCTGTAGGCCGAGGACCCTAGGGTGGCAAGGCAGACACGTTGGGGTCGGCGGACTCTGACGAGGGCGGGTGGGCAGGGCACACTCCAGAACGAGAGCTGCGTGCCAGGTGCCTTCCAGGCCTTCTCTGCTCTGCCTTGGTGTTGAGGCATGCTTAAAGCCCAGGGGCTCTGGGTCTGAGACGCCCCAAGTTCAAATCCCGTCTCCACCACTTCACAGCCATGTGATCTTCACCAAGTTAAACCTCTCTGGGCCTCAGTTTTTTCCAGGAACACGAGGGAACACTACTTCCTCCTTCCAGGTTGGGTGAGGGTCGAGAGGGACAGAGTGTGTGAAGGGCCTGGCCCATAGTAAATGCTCAGTCAATGTTAGCTGTCATAATGACCAGCATTTTTTAGAGTTCCTTTCCTATTTAATGAGCAGTATATATATAGTGCCTTCTACATGGCAGGCACTGTTCTAAGTGCTTTTATAATACATTATTTCATTCCTTGCAACAGTGCTGTGAGGTGGATGCTATTATAATCCTCATTTCACAGATGAGGAAACCTTGCACAGAGAGGTTAAGTAATTTTCTCAAGGCCACACAGCTAGTAAATGGCAGAGCTGGGATTTGAACAGAGCAATCTTTGGACTCCCTGATCTTCAAGGTGTCTTTCAACTCAGAGTTTCTGGCATTCTATGTCTTGAATGTCAGACGGCTTTCTGCAGGGGGCAGATGGGAGAGTCACTGCCTCCAAGGGAAGGGGACACAGCCACCACACACACCTCCAGGGTAGGAGTCATGGGCACTGCCACCTGCCTGTCACTTCACCATTCCCAGTTCCTGGAGAATCCCCTCCCCCAGCTGGGTGGTAAGAGCTGGGGGTTCTGGGCTGGGGCCAGGGATGTGGACCCAGGGTTCCTGGACCTGGCTGGGGCTTGGGATGAAGGCTGACAGGATGCATCATGGTAGGAGAGGAAGGGGCTCACCGACGGCCACTTTAAACCTATTTCTTAGATGAGGACGTTGAGCCCCGAGAAGGGAGGTGACTTGCACAGGGGCACACAGATGTCCAACTGGGTGACCTCCCTCCCTCTGCCCTGCAGCCTTGTCATGAGTGGGCATTTCCCCGACCGCTTAGGAGACTCCATTAGAGGGACCAGTGGCAGGACTGAGTAGGACGCAGGCTGCCTCTCCTGTCCCTGTGCTCCAGCCAGGATGCTCCCCCCGGCTCGCCAGGCCTGTCCCTCCCCTGCAGCTGTGCCCTGCTATGGCCTCTCCACTCCAAACTGTGCTGTCCACCTCTGCTTTCGAGAACTAGCTTGAGGCTTCCTCTAGGAAGCCACCTGGATTTTCTTCTCCTGAACTCCTGTTCCCCATCTAAGCCAGTCCCAGATAATTGCTCATGGTTCCCCCATGTCTATAAGCCTCTTAAGAGTGGTCCTCACAAGATTTCAAAGCCAGAAAGTCCCCAAGAGCTCAGGAGTCCTAACCCCACCCCCACTCCTCAGATGAGGACAACTGAGGCGTGGGGAAAAGGAGTGACCTTCCAAGGTCACAGAGCAAGCCAGTGACAGATGTGGAACCAGAAGCCAGGTCTCCTCATGCTCATACCTGTACACATCTGTTACGTTTCTCTGACCCTCTGGCAGTGCCAGGCCCAGGTGGTAAACAAATGACAAAATCCTGATTCATTGAAGATGCTATTTTGAGTGGGGTTAAATGCTTGACCATGGAGTCACACCTGCTTTGAGATCTAGATCCACTACTTCTTGGCTGTGTGACCTTGAGTAAGTCACTTGACCTCTCCGAGCCTCAGTTTTCTCAAGTGTAAAAACCATGAAGATTAAATCAGCTGATGTCTCAAGTACTTAGCCCAATCCCAGGACATAGAAAGTGCCAGAAGATGGTAACTGTTAATAATAACTTTGATAACGATAGTATCCCCTACTTATTCTCTCCAGCTTGTGTTCCACAGCTGCCTCCTCACCTCCCACCCAGCGTTAGCCTCTGGAGGGTGTGAACGTGTTTTGTGAGTGGATCTGTCACCCCAGGAACCCTGCCAAGGACCCCTCCAAGGACGCCATGCCCTCCACGGGGCCCAGACCCACCGTGCTCCAGCTCGGCCAGGCGGTCCTGCAGCGTGTCCAGCTCCTTCTCCACCTCCTGCCGCTGCCGGCGGCTGCTGTGGCTGAGGGCCGCGCGCTCCTGCTCCAGCGCCAGCACCTGGGCCAGCAGCTGCCCCTCCAGCTGGTCCATCTTGGAGTGCAGGGCGGTGGGCGCCACAGGTGCGTGGGCCGGGCCGGTCGAGAGGTTCACGCGAGCTGGGAGCTCCTGCTGCTCACAGGGCAGGGAAAGAGGGCGTGAGAGGTCACCTCGGGGGAGGAAGGAAAGGCACAGGCACCGAGATGCCCACTGCCCCTGCTCGGTGACCCCCACACGCACAGTGGGGATGGCAATGCCAGTTGCAGGTGACAGACGTGTCCCCGGTGCCTGTTCCTGGCGCCGGTGCATCATGGCGAGCAGCGGGCAGAGCTGGCACCTGCCCCCAGGACAGCTCAGCCTGTGGCGGGGCTGCGGGGCCGGGCCATAGAGGGCCACGAAGGCTCCCAGGTGGTTCCATGCACAGTCAGGATTGAGAGCCACTGTCCTAGTCCTTCCTAGCTGCAAGGCTGGACACTAACTGGCCAGTGAAGGGGCGGGCTGTCGTAGTCTTGGCTCATTCACTCACCGGCTCCTCTAAAACGGGACTGTGCACAAGGCTCTGGGTGGGCAATGGGCAGACCCAGGGGCACAAACCGGGGGCTTCTGGAGCAAGACTCCAGTGACCTGGCTGTTCCAGGATGGCAGGTGGTTAAAATCACATACTCTGGAGTCAGACAGCCAAGGGTTCAAATCCAACTCAGGAACCAACCTGCTGTGTGACTCTGGGAAAATCCCTTGACTTCTCTGAACTTGTTTACTCACAGGACAGCTGCACCTATTTGGAGGGCTGTGGGGAGGATTAAGTGGTAAATGCCAATAAACAGAGCCTGCTTATTGTCATTACTGGCTAGGGCAGAGTGTTCCTGGGTAGACTCTGACACCCCCCATCCAGCCCAGCATGAGGACAAAGTGTTTAGAGTCCCCTCTGCTCCTATCCTGTCTTAAAGACTCCAGTGGCAGGAGATTGGGACAGGAGCTGGAAAGGCCTCTCCTCCCCTTTCTCCTGCTGGAGGAAGCCCCTTCCGGGGTGGAGGAAGGCAGATGAGGCCACCGCTTCAGACTCTTGGAGGGGACAGTCTCTGGCGGACATGTCATGGAAACATCATTAGGAGATTAATAATTCAGTGAGCTGCTAGGAGCCAAATTAGACCTTCACAGTCCCCCTGGCTTCCCCACCCCCTCCAAGGTCCCCACTGCCAGGCCTGGTGTCTCCACACTCCCCAGGGCCTGGGAGGTTCCCGCTCAGCCTGGCCCTGGGCCCTGCCCCAAGGCTTAGGCCCCAGACGTGAGCTCACTGAATGCTCCTGATCCACTCACCGAGCGATGCTCTCCCCGGGCCCAGAGTGCCGGGCCCGCCCCGGGTGCTGGACACAGCTGAGGGCAAAACAGAAAGCCTAGAGCACCGAGTCTCCCGGTGTCCTGAGCCAGAGACACTCCCATCCTTACTGGCCCCGCCCTGGCCTGCCAGTCATTTGCTGGGTGACACTGGCAAGTCCCTTACCCTCTCTGAGCCCCTTTTCTAGCCATGTGACAAGGGGATAAGTGTGTGCCCTGCATCAAAGTGGTGGACAGTAGAGTGCCACTGCCATGCTCAGTGCCGGAGACACGGGAGCTGCCATTGTGGACAGTGATGTGCCCTCAAGCTGAGGAGTTGGAGGGACCAGCACTGGGCTCTGCCACTGCACCCCAAGGGTGCCAGCAGGTGGGGTAACCCCTACGGTATCATTTTTTTCTTCTCTAAGATGGGTGCTGGGAAGGCCCAGCTTGCCGGGCTATGGTCAGGATTAAATGATGGCGTGCAGGGCGAGGGCCCGGCCCAAAGCCTGGCCCAGTGGTGTCAAGGGCCTGGTTTCGGGTGCTCGGGGTGGGCGGGAAGACTTGAACGGGATGCTCTTAGCTGCAGTCTGAGCCCCCCTCAGGCACCTGTCCACTTGCTGAATCTGCTTAACCCCCCTGTGCTGTAGGGGCCACCAGTGTCCCCATTTCATGGGCAAGAAACTAGAGTGACAGAGTTACCTGAGGTCACACCAGGGACAAGCAGCAGAGCTGGGACCGAGCCTGGCAGGCCGGCCTTCCCATCTCCTCTGCATCACTCACCACGTGGCTCCTCCTGGCCACTGCCAATGGCCCTTCTGGAAGCCCTTCTCCCTCTCTGTCCCACCTGTCCCCAAGCCTGCTGAGTGGCTGCTGTTGGAGGGGCGAGCTGCCTCAAAGGGCGGAGGGTCTGGTGCCAGCTCACGCTCAGCACCCCCTTCTGCTGTGGTGGGAGGGCTGAGGACCAGCGGCCCATGCCAGGCTGTGAGATGGGGCAAGGGCAAGCACGTGACCAGGGTTATCTAGGCTGGCTCTAGAAAGGGACCTCATGGAGCAGCAGGAAGGGTCCAGCCATCATCATCCCCGTCCCATCCCACGTAAGAGGTCCTGGCCACCCACCCATGCTTGGCCCAGTGGGTGTTGGGGGGACAGATGAGCCTCGCAGCACATCTGGCCACTCCGTTACACCATCTGTGCTACCCCGAGGGCTCGTTCTAACCGCCACGGTTGCTACCAGCCCTGGTTTTGGTGCAAACTAACCACAAAGCCTCAGTTTCCCCTCCCATAAAGTGGGGACAACAGGCCTCACTCTGTCCATCCCCAGGACAGAAGGAAAGATGGGAAGAAAGAATGGAAGTGACAGGTGACAAGCCCTCGTGGACTGTAAAAGCATAATGCAAGCGGTGAGGCTTGACCACGTCAGCTGCCGGGGAGCCTGCTGCTGCCACAGCCTTCATGTGACCACAGACGGCCCATGGAGACACAGCCAGCCTCCCACGGGACTGAGATGCTGGACCTCCAGTTAGCTCACAGGGAGCGTCCCACCCAGGGTGCTTTCCACCCGGGCCCCGCACTGCTCTGCCCCCCGGCCCCCACCCTCCTCTGCGCCGAGCTTGAGGCCAGAGGGGCACAGGTTGAATAAGACCACGTGCCAGGCCGCCTTGGCACTGTGCAAGTATTTACTCAGGAATCCTCAGCCACTCGCTGAGCTTGGCACGCTCAGCATCCCCATTTCACAGATGGGAAATCGAGGCAGGAGTCCTTTTTGATTGGTCTACAATGACGGGGCTGGGCAAAGCTAACATTCCTGGAGCCAACGTGTTCTCTCTCTAGCCAAGCGTCCTCCCCGCTCAGAGGCAGGAAGAACTGCCAGGAAGAAGGGGGCGTCGAGGCTATTCACACAGATGCTGTTTCGAGGAGAAAACGTGCAGGCGCTGTGTGTGTGTGTCTGTGTGTCTATGTGCAGGCGCACAAGCTGTTCTTTTGTCAGAGCCACCAGCTCTGCTGGGCCAGGAAGGCCAGGGAGGCGGTGGGCTCCCCGGATCGTGCGTGAGCCCCTCCTCAGCCCAGACTCTGAATCAGAAGAACACGACTCCCCCCACCTCCCATCTGCTGTGGGTGCAGGCTGTGCCGCGTGGGCTCCCGGCCTGATGCCAGGTGGGCCCCCGGCCTAAGGCGGTGGGGGACAATGACGCCAACACCCCCACTCAGCTCCTGGTGGGCAGGCGAATGGAGGCTGGGAGCCTGCGGTGGGGTCTGGTGAGAGTCTGCTGGGCCCCAGCCAGAGCCCGGGGTTCTAGGCCCAGCTCAGCCACTCGTGCGCCGGGCTCATTAGCACGCTGACGGCAGCAGCTGCCCCACTGGGCACTCACCGAGTGCCAGGCCCTGCAATTGTGCAAACATTTCTCAATCTCACTCAACAACCCTGGTAAGTAAGGAGGCCCACTTTACAGATTCGGGAACTGAGGCTGAGGGAGGTGAGGCCGCCTGCCTAAGGTCACACAGCTGCAAAAGTGGCAGAGCCACGATTCTTCGTTCCAGAACTCGTGTCCAATTCTCTGTCCTACCCTGACAGTTGGGCCTCAGTTTGTTGATCTACCAAGTGGGCACAGTGCTGGTGGCCCTGCCTACCTCAAAGGCCAGCGGGAGAGGTTCTAGTGGCCATGAGAAGACCGCAGAGCAGGGCGGCTTCACAAAGGAGGCGTGATGGGAGGGTCTTGCCAGCGTGGGGTGCCTGAGGTTGGGGGGACACGGGGAAGCCCCAACCACCTTGTCCCCACCCGGGGTCTGCTCCCTTCCTGCAGGGAGCTGAAGGAAGGTGCAGGACTTCAGGGTCAGGGGCCCAACCTCTGCACCGGCCCACCCTGCCCGGACAGCACAGGGCCTGGCTCCAGGGGCAGCAGGGCTGGGTGGAAAGTGAACAGTTACGGGGCAACTGTGTGGGTCACAATCACCCCCCATCCCCATCCAATCACCCCTAAGTCTTGTGTGACTCCTGCCAGGGCTCATACCCTGGCTCTACCAGCTCAGCAACTTTGTTGTGTAAGGCTGCTGTGCCTCAGTTTCTCCATTGGCCAAAAGGGTAAAATAATACTATCTCGTAGCATCGTAGTGAGGATTAAATGAGTTCATAGATACAAGGCTCTTAGAGTTGGCATGTGAAGTGCCAAATGAGTGAGTGCCAGCTATTAGTATTAGGACTAACACTACTTGAATACCTCTTGCAGTGGTCCACCTTTCTGCATCTCCAACCCTAAATCTGTTTGTGGGATCATTATATTGAGAGAAAAAGCAGGTTACAGAGCAGTTGGCTATCATTTATATAAAGTTGTAAAACATTCAACAGCATGTGATGTACGGTCAAGGGACACACGAATGGGGGTAAATGCATGAGAGATGCATGCGGAGAGCAATGCAAACTCAGGACGTGTGGCCGTTCGGGGACGGGCGGCCGGGGCTGGCACGGGGGAGGCTCTGGCAAGGCAGCCACCGGCTGGACATATTTGGGTCTTAGTCTGGGCAGGGACTCTCTGTACCTTATTTTCCTGTTTAAAATACTTCACACTGATTTTCCTTTAAAAATGGGGGAAAAATTCCCAAAGTGGAGACTATAATGGTCCAATCTAACCCTGACTCTTACTTAGGACCTCACTCAACTCCTCTGCATCTCCCTCGTCCTGGCTGCCGGCCCCTGGACTGTGTCGCAGCTTCCACTCCGGCCCTCGCCACACGGCAGCCAGAGGCGAGTCCGACCACACTGCTCTCTGTCTAAAACCCTTCCCTAACCCCTTCCACCCTCCAATAAAGTCTCTTACCTT